TTAAGGATACTCTAAAAGCAATACAATAATGTGAAAAATTATTAGGTTGTATTAGCTCTTTAAAATTTACTAAACATTTATGGAAAAATGCAATTTAGCCTCCTTTCAGATGGATTCTTTACATTTAATGTCCACAACATTTATTCCTTCCAGTCTTTAAGTTTTTCACACTGATTGGCAGTATGTTGGGCTGAATTTATTTCTGAATCAAAGCAGCTACCAGTTCCTATCACTCTTTGACAGCTCGTGCACAACCTCAGCAAGAGATTGCGTGCTGGCATTTTAGGCAGAGACAGCAAACTCTGGTATCTTACTATTAATTCTGCCAATTACACAGCAGGGTTACCTGGGACCAACAATGATCACAATCAGGTTCCCAGCCATTAAACCACCCCTATACTCACTCAAGTATATGATATTATTAGCAGGCTGACTTGCCATCAGGACAGTCTCCAGTTGATTTGGCTTGTGTTTCCACAACTGAGAATTAAAAACCAATCCCATGGAAGATGCAGAAAGCCATGGATACTCTGTGATCAGTGGGACAATATACAGGATCGCAAACACCTTTTTACAGATGGTGTGGAAAATGATATTGCTGCTTGATATCCCTTGGGAAGATATCTGCATGGCATCCTTCAAGGAAGGGCTGTCCGTATCATCAGCTCCAGGGATTATCATGGCAAAACCCAGAGTACAGAGCGATTCAGCTTTATGTGTACCTGCAAATCTGTGTCCTGGTACTCACTGTGTGGCCCGACTGCTCGAGGAAGGATGACAACCCAGCACATCCTCTGATGCATGGTTCCAGCAACACATGCCAATTGCCAAGGGCCCTGGAAGGATTTTTTTTTTAATCATACAGTAACATACCTTATCCTGGACCGATACATTAATAATGTATGTGTGACTCTTAAACTGGGTTTTGATGGGTTGAATGTTTACACTTACACCAAGAGAGCAGAGAGAGCCTGTCGTTCCACCTCCTGTCTGGGCTGGGATTAAGGATACACTCCCATTTCCAGATCCCACCAGGCTGGCTATTTCAAATCAGCATTTTCCATTCTTTCAACTAACCCCACTTATGTTGCCCAAAGGCGACGAAACAGTGTTTGCAGTCACTGCCAACAGAGCCTTGGGAACAGGAACTCCCAGCCACAGGTCACTAACACAGTCATGTCCTAAAACAGCAGCAGCTATCTGTGAAACGTATGTGTGCCAGGAGCCCGAGAGACGCTCACACAGCATGGATGACAACGATAACACTGCCTCATGCTTTACTGCACATGGCAAAACAAGTGGGAGCAATCGAGGGGGAGCATCTCCCCCCAGACCACAGGAAAGAGCCTGTGTGTGAAGAGACGACATGGACACACATACACGCATACTCCAGCAGCTCCTGGAGTGGGAAACATGTGCTGAGCTCCAGGCAACAAGTCCAGGCTGAGAAACGAAGAACAAATTCATTTCCAGAGTCCCCTCCGCAGAGGCAGAGCGGAGCCCCCCACGGGCCGTGGCTCCAGAGGCACTCGGAGGCAGAAGCGGGTGGGATCCCACGGGTGTGCACAGCAGAGTCCTCGCACGGGGCAGGATGAGTTGGCTGGTTGCCTTTTGCAGTCAGATGTTTTGCTACAGCTAAAAGGATTTTTCTGTTTTTTGGGGTTTTTTTAATGCAGGAAGGGATCATCTGCTAACTCATCTGTTTCCCACCCCAGGCCTGGAGGTCAGCTGCAAAGGGAAGTTGGTGGCTGCAGCATGAGGAGAGGTGCAAAAAGCTGTATCTTGATTTTCTACCTATTTCTACATCCCTTGGGTAATTTGAATTTTCTTCTTCCCTTTCCTTCCCAGCCAAACAAAAGGAAAAGAGAAAAGCCTCTCTGGAAAACCCTGTATAAGACAAGGGCCACATCCAAGATGACAACCCCCTCCAAGCCGCTACAGCTGAGTGAATATTCTCTGCAGGCACCAGACAATATGGTCAGGGGCTGTTTCCAGCACATGAGCTGTGCTGAGCAGCAGCAGACTGGACAGCTGATGTACTTGCTGCCCACCCTTCTCCTCTCCTGAAGGTGACAATCTCAGCCCAGACCATAACGCGACCAGCAGACTCTCTGCTGATGTTCATCAGGTCAGGCAACGAGTTGGAGGTCACATCCAGTACTGCTTCATAGCAAGAGCAGCAGGAACTCCCACGCATGGCTGGGGTGAACAACCAGGGTTAGCACCCAATTCAGCTATCCCAGTTTAATCTGCTTCCCTCCAGGGTTAACCAGGTGTCCCTGTTTCTCCTGCCCTTGCTAAAAGCAAATCCAGACCACACAGGAGCTGCAGTAGCAGTTTCCCGTGGTGGGGCTGAGTGTAACAGTGCAAAAGGGCTGCTGATCCTCTAACAGAGCAGGCAGGGACAGGAGCTCAACTGCACCGTAAACTGCTCACTCCAATTACCCTTATGAGAGGTGAGTTCCACCAAGCCAATTCAGACAGCAATTATGGACCCTGCGTGAACAAACTGGTTTCAGGGCTTCAGACAGACACACCCCAAGAGCAGGTAGTTGACAGCTGAAGAAGTGAAATGACAAATTGTCCTGTGCACTGAGCAGCCACAGCTCCCCCAGGCAGAGCGCCCTGCAGGCGAGCCGTGCCCCCCAGGCACTGCCCAGGCCTGTCCTCAGCACACCCTGGAGAAGATGCTGCAGAGGTGCGAGGAACCTCGCAGAGGGGACGTCCTGGCTGTGAGCATGCTGCGCGCTGGCGGTGAGCGCACGCCCAGAGGTCATCCTTTATAGGCTGGTCCAACTGAGGAAGTCACAAGCTCTATTTTTAACTCTAAAGTTTAAATAATTACAATTTTTTTTTTTTGCATCCTATCCTCTGCTGATCCCTTCCTCTCCCAGCAGCCACTTGAAAAATTCAACCAGTTAAAAAGGGGAAGAAATTTGTTTTCCTCTTTCAGAAATGGTTAACTTCAATGACGCTATTCGCACGAAGGACTTTAAACATCAAAACTCTATTGTTTTTCCAGTCACAGCTTTTAGAGTATTTCATCTCTTTAGTCAAATGAACGCTACAAAGGAAATAATATGCTCATGTCATAAACATCACAAACTATGAGGAATATAGATCTTTGGAAAAGAGAGAAATGCATTCATTGTTTGTCATTATACTATACTATAGTCAACTGCACCAGTAAAACAGTCCATAATATTCATTCAAATATACATCTTCCTATTGAAGTTACGCACCTGTACAATCTACCTTTCTACTTTGCACCCCTAGTTCTACAAGTGGTCAATGAGGATAGATATACAGTAGTTCTACAGAGAAATCACTGAAGTGGATACATAAGTGGGCCCTTTCAGAGTTAATTAAGATTTTCAATAGTTCCACAATGCTACATTCATGCTACCAAGTTCACTGAATTGGGATTTTACTTTAGAAAAGAGAAAGGAAGAACAGTTTGTCTGTCTCCAGTTAAGAGCATAACCATAGGAGGTAAAAGGGTCAGAAAGGGAGAGAGTTTTGTGTCAGCATTTGAATCCTGCCACTACCATTTCCTTCTCCAAATAACACATGACTTTGTGCTTTCATCACACCTACAGCTCCAACCTCTCACAAGCACAGCTGGCGGAAGCTACCATGCTAAATAATAGATAATTGGCATAAGTTTTGTTTTCCTTTTTATATCTGGCGTTTTCTTGCAAAAGCTACAGACCGGTGCCTACTATCCCCTTCGCTACAAGTCTGGAAAACATGACCGAGTCAAGAGGATAGGAGTCCAGCCAGGGATGAGACGTAGCCACCAAACTTCCCGAGGTCAGGCCAGGTCAGCATGGCAGCTTCCCAACAGCCCACACCTGTTTGGTTCAATATGTTGCTTTCAATGACTTTAAACCATCTCTCTCCACCGATTCCTCTCCTTACTTACTATATGTACATTATTTCTTCAAAAGTTTTGCTATAAAACTGCTATAAATGTACAGGGTTCAGCAGTTCTAGCCAGAGGCCTGCTCCCCAAAATTACAACCACAAATATGTCACGGGGGAAGGAGTACTCTACACATCAGAACAACTAGTTCTTTTTGTAAGTATTTAAAAGATTTGTACATATATTTTCCTTCACTTCACAATCAACTCATTTTAGATACCAGGAAATCTGGCAACTAAGGTAATCCTTCCCTGTTACTTCTCCAGTATTTTTTACTTAATAAAGAAATAACTTGTATCATCTCCCAGAATTGTCAGAGTGACCTAGGCAGACTGTAAGTAGTATTTATTCTCTGAACAGGAAAGTAGAAGATGAAAAAAAACCTTCCCAAAACAAAAAGCAACCCCCCGACCTAAACAAACAAAAAGTAAGTATATTCCAAAATATCCTCAAATATCAAGTACAAATCTGGGTTCTTAAACCACGGCTGCTGACAAAGCTCTGGGTTTACTCTGTCCTACACAGGAAGGGATGTGAGCAGCTCGGATAAACAGGTCTTTTTAGCATTGGAAAAGAGGTGGTTTATGCACAAACAACTGGCAATCAAGTGAGCATAGGGAAGATTCAAACTCATGCTACAAACCTGTGCTGTACTCCTCCAGAAGCATTTCTTCCAAATGCCTCAGTGAACAGTCTCCTTGGAGGGTTTCTGATGGTCATGTAACTGCGCTGCCCCACACAGCAGACTAGAAGGAGAACTTGTCTCTCAACACATAGCAAAACACTGTCATGAACAAGTAATTACCATGGCTATTAATTTCTAATTCATTTTTATACCATAGTGAACCTGACAGAGATTTCTCAGCCAGGTACCATATTTCTAACCTAAAGTATTTCAGCAAAACTAAAGTCCCATAGTTTTGCAAGCAGCAAAATAGAAAGTAACAAAGTTGTGTCTAATTGGAGGAGAAATATACATTCGTGAGAGCACATACAATTAGTGCAACACAGCTACTCTGAAAGTAACGAACCAAACCGGATTAATCAATGCAGCAGACATGCAGGGTCTGCTAAGTTATGTTAAAACCATGTTTGCTGGTGATTAAATATGTCTACAGAAGATATATTACCATTTTGAATATATTTTCAAGCAGACCAAAAATACCTCATCTATTGGTTACTGGTGTGTTATTTTTAACTAATTAAATATTGGGAGGGATTTTACCCCTCTCGCTATAAAAATTGCACTTATTTGCTATTAAACAAAACAAAAAGTTAGATTTCAATTCTATATTCCAGTATATATTCACATCGAAACTGGATCGTCTGATCTAAGCTTGCAGGAGTAGGTGTAGCAGTCCTTGCTCTCCAAGATCCCAGCACAGAAGGTCCCATCAGGACAAACCCCTCCTTCCTCTGTGCTCTGGTCACTTCTTCATTGTAGTGCATGGGTAATTGATTTTATTTTTTGTTAAGAAAACCTGAGCTTCAAAAGTCTTTAAAAGGACCTGGAATCAAATCTGGCCCATTCTGACCCAAAACAGCTCAGTTCTGCAAGGAACTCCATCCTGTCCTTGTTTCACACAGCTCCTCCTGAGACACCACAGCTCTGACCTGAGGCGAGTGAGGTGTCAAACCCTTTCCCTCCAGTCTCTCTTGACCCAGGAGACTTTCCTCCCAACACTCTTCCAAGGGCTCCTTCTTCCCTCCCTTTAGCACTGCTGCCTCCTATAGGGCTGTGAAGGGCTCCCTGTGCCAATAAAAAAGTCTCTCTGCGGTAAGCATGACTTCTTGGACACTGGTGATCAAATTCCTCTTGCAAAGTCTTCTCCAGCTCATAAAATATCATCGTAATCCAATAGTTTAGAGTGCTGGCGGGTCTTCCAGAGGCGGTAAAGGCGGAAGTCAAAGTAAGTCTCAATCATTTGCTTACCTAGGAAAAGTGAAATGAAGCACAGGGGTTACGCCCTGCAGCACACGGGAGAGATGCGAGAGGCCACAGCAGCAAAAGACCCCAACCCACGTACAGGCAGGGGCACAGGAGAACCTGTCCATATGCCTCATTTGGAAAATACCGACATTCAGCCAGGGCACATAAAGGTGCTCATGAGAAGCAAATGTCTTTTTAGATCTCCTCAAACCATGAAAGGCTCCTTGTAATCCCCTGTCAGGGTTTGTCCATGGGGGCAGGAACTGAGCACAACGTCTGTCTCCAGACTTCAACCTCTTTGCACTGACTGCAGAAGGGGGGGCCGGGAGCTGTAGTGTATCAGACAACAGCTCCAACAGCCTGCACAAGGCAACCTGGCACGGGGACTTCAGAAAATTACAAATCAAGAGTAAACTCATTGTAAAGATTTGTGGAAAACATTAAAAATAATTAACATTGAAAATTAAATTTTATTTTATTTTTTAAATTAATGTTAACAGGCTGTCTCTGTCCTGCAGAGCTATCTCTTCTCACAGCAATGAGCTCAACAGGACACACTAATGCAAGTTCTGCACCACTGGCACCTCCGATTGAAGGTTGGGGGGTTGTCTCACAAGGTGGTCACAGACTGAAAGCCAGGCACAGGGCTGGCGCTGGAAGCAGGGAGTGCATTTGAAAACACAAGGGCAAGTAACCCTGGAGTCTGAGCCAGGGCTCAAGGAAGGGATTTTTCACTTTTGAGGCCTGATTAAGATTAGTTTCAGATGACTTTGCAAAGGATTAGAAAGGGTACACTATTAGCACATCCCAGATTGATCAAGGGGATAAATTCAGACATATTCTTCAGCCCAGCCCCCTGAAAGATCAACTGCTTAAATGCATGTGCACAGAACCCACTGCCTTGCCTGCCAAGCTGCATATAAACCCAGGAATTTCCCTGTAAGCTGCTTCTTGGCATACATGTAGAGCACGTTTCGCTGTGGGATCTGTGCAAGCACCATATAAAGCTGAGTCCAAACCTTGACAGGACATGCACAGAGAACTCTGCACAGCACGAACGTGCTCAACTCCCGTACATTCTTATGACAGTAAGTGGGAGTTAAGAATAACCCATGAGTGCTGATGCCAGCTGTGAGCAGCAGAGGAAGTACCCACAGTGCTTATAGCCTAATGCTGCATGTTTTTATCTTCCAAGAGAACAAAGTACCAAGAACTACAGCTAAGATAAAACAACAAGGGCAAATTCAGAATATGTCGCTTATGAAACTGCACCCATAACTATTTACATTGACCAAAGAACAGGAAAAATTCTATAGCCCCTTGAATTATCTTGAGCTACAGGGAAAAAGGAAAAAAAAAAAAAAGCAAAAAAAAAGCAGACTGAGATGTAGAATGGCTCTAATAGGCTATATCCCAGTCACTTGTTGATGACGCAACTCACTCGGTACCAGTGGTTTGAGTCCTGGAGATGAGAGCCCTGCGCGCTCGGTTACAGAGAAGGTTCTGCTCCTATGTGCATTTCTCCCACAGACTTCACATGCCCTAGTAATACGATGAATCTCCTAAACTCAGCCTGGAAAGCTGCCTACTATTTAGGCTACTTGGCCAGTGCCAGTAGCCTGGGCAAGGGCTCTCTGCAGCTTCAGGGACAACAAACGGGATAGATGAAATGTGAACATGGAGGAACTGCAAAGGGAAAACCAGGTTCAGCCACTAACTACACAAGGTGGTTACAAGCAAAATGAAGACACTGACAGGAATTAAGGGAGCTCAAAATTGCTTTTTCAGGAAGATGCCCACTGAAGGAGGCAGGCTCATTAGGAAGGTGTGTGTCTTTGTACAGAAAATAAATTACCTTGAGCTGATAGTTCAAGTGGAGACTCAAAGGCAACCCTATAAGGATTCATTAAGTTTTTCAGATTCTGAAATAGCTGAAAGGAAAACATATCGAGAGTTAGCATCTGAAAACAAAGATGAACTCCAGGGCACCCAGAGTTGCCTATCCTTGTTCCCTAACTCTAGAAAACCTTCCACTCGTGTCCTTTAAAACATCTAGCTCATCAGTAAATAAATAAAGTGCTTTGAATGACTGTTCTCCTCAAAAGCTTCAATATTTGTCCTGCATGTCACTTATCACTTCTCCCCTGCCCTCTGGGGAAGGCACAATCCATATGGTTCACCCATTCACAGCCATGTGACAGGACGGCAGCATGTTCCCACACAGCAGAAGTGGAAAGTTTAGACTTCACAGTGTGACTATTGTCTCCCTGGGCTTGGTGCTACTCAGAAGACATTCCCAGAGAGGCGACCCAGGAAGCTCTTACCTTCTCCCCATTGGGGTTTCCAAGAACATAGCAGCCCATGATGTGAATGATATTTGGTTCAGGATTGACTTTACTCATTAGCCGGCTCAACCTCTTCCAGAAGCTGGAAGAAACAGGAAAAAACAGAATATGTAATTTAAAAAAAAAAAAAAAAAAAAAAATCTATCTCCTCATATGCATGAGTAATCATAAAGATGTGTGTGCACACTGCTCAGAAGGGGCCTGAGGCTTGTAGCCTGAGGAGGAAGCTGCTCAGGAAGAGCCACTAGTTCTTAGACAAGGAAGAGCAGGGGCAGAGCAAGGGCCTGAGAAGCAGGTCCAAGTCATGTAGTAGAGAAGGAGGAGTGGCCCATCGAGCCAAGGAAGCTCCAAGATGAAGAGAAGGGAGCAAAGTCCACCAGGAGTGCTTTTAGACTGACAGTTTTACTAAGCATCTTCTTGTAGCAGTTCCCTCCAATTTTCTCTCTCTCATTTCTATCAACAGCTGCACTTTCTAAATGTGTTATCAGTGCACCGGTTCATTTCCAGGGCATGAAATCAGCAGAGAACAGCTGGAGAGGTTGTTCTTCTACGTAGCTAGAGAGACAATACCAAACCAGGCTGGTTTATGTTAGCTAGTGCTTGGTGCTGCTCACCAGTCAGACCCGCTTTACATTTTGTGACTACTAACCAAGCACACTGTGCCTAAGGGACATGAAATACAACCACCTCGCCTGTGCAGTGGGTTAGAGTAGACTTCTGGTGGGCCCTAAAGCCCAGCAGTTCCTCTGTGGGGTCTGCAATCAGACTGCAGCCTAAGCTTTTCTCAGGACTGCCTCTCAGGGACATACAGGTTGGATGGAGACATTCACTTCCAAGCATCCAAGTTTTCAGCTGTGTGTTCACAGCTTTCTGAAGGTCCCTGAATTACCAGTTCTGGACCAGCTATGCCTGGAATGTGTTCAGAAGCGTGTACACACACATGTGCTAAAGAATTTTATTGACAGTGTTTGTGCCAGAGCACGAGAGCGCTGAACAGATGTTGATTTTAATACTCAGTTCTCATGTCAACAAAAAGTTGTGTAGGAACAGGTTGGTATACATCCTCTCCCCCACAATGAAGCACTGTCAGCCAAGTAAGTTTGAGCCAGCACAAGCAATCAGGCAGCAAAACAGCCAAACTTAACTCTCTGCAAGGAGAAGCAAAATTGCCTCAGCAACCCCAGCTGACAGGCTGGCATGCTAGTGAAAATCCTCCTCAGTAACGTGCTGGACTTTGAGCAGGCTTTGCAGAGGCAAATTCCATTTCTCCATGCAATCAGGAGGGCAGTTACTGGAGACAGCTGTGGTGGGAACAGTTTGGATTTCTGCCACTAGTCGCCTGCTTCAAAATGCTATCTCAGCCACTTCTGAGCAACAGAGGCACGAGGTGTGTGTTCAGGTTTCTGGTCAGCAAAGCCTTTGTTAGGACAGGAACTATCTTTTTCCCTCTTTTGACAGTCTCTAGTCCAAACAGACACTAACAGCAGATAAAAGCATAAATCTTCTGGTGACCTGTCCCAGAGCTGCACCAGCCCAGGGACAAGCTCGGCTCTGTCATCTTTGCAACTCCCCCTGAAGGAGCTGTAAGCTGCTATCAGGTCCCCCCCTCAGCCTCCGCTTCCCCTGACCAAGCCACGCCAACTCCCTTCACCTCTCCTGCTAGGCCATGTGCTATAAACATTGAGCAAACCAAGCAGAAAAATGTTATGCAAGTCCAGAACATAACGCAGCCACTCACAGGATCATATCTTCCTCCTTCTCCACTTTGGCGAAAGTGGCAACTTTGTTCTTTAACAAGTACAAGTGACCAGGACCTCCCTGCAAGAGAGAGAGAGACAGATGCAAACCACTTTGCACAGGCCCTGAAGAAACAAACCCTGAACACGTTTCTTGATCTGCACAACGATACCCAGAAGTGCCACAAGGGAGCAGAGCAGACACGCCAGGCTGGTGTGGCTGCTACAACCTCCATGGCAGACACAGCAGGCACTTGCTCAGGAGATACTCACATATGGGGAGTGTGTTGGGGGTTGGATTCTCCGGTTTTTACTGTTACATGCCCACCTCACTCTAGAACGGCACAATAATAGACAAAAATCTTCATTGTGGGTGGCTGGAGAGTAATAGGGAAGACAAGAAAGTCCCTTTCATTTGGGGATACTAGGGGGCTTGCCGTGGTAGACAGACGAGAAGCTGAGCAAAGCAGGGATGAGCAGGCAAGATGTCACCATAGAAGAACTAGACTTTGGCAGTAGTAGGCATAAAAAGATTGAGCACAACATCAGCAAAATTAAGAGTCGCAATCTCCAGATCAGTGTGCTGCAAACCCTCTTATTTTGCAGCATTAGGCATGTGGGAGGGAGTTTAAGTTAGGTTACTTTCCTAACTTCTCATTTCAAGCTTCCTTGTACAGCTGCCGGGGAAATCCAAAGCTGACCATCCTGAGGAACAAGAGACTCGGGAAAGAAATCCCCGGCAAGCCCCAGATCCAGCAGGGCCTGAATATGTCCCACCCACAGCTCTGCAAACCTGTACCCTGACCCCTCTGCCGTGTAGGCTGGCCTCCAGCTCCGAGCTGTGCCATCTGCCGGTCTGATCCACAACATGCACCACTGACACTGTCATACTGAAGCTGTACAAAACCTGTAACCATCACATTGCAAATGCTTGTTCCTTTCTCTGGAATCCTCCTTATGAGATCTGTGCTAATGCTGGTTTGCCTGGGTTTCCTTGAAAGCAGCTGAGAAGCAGCCCAGCTCTGAACTTGGCCACAGTAAATCAGATTTTATTTCCTGCTGTCACAGCAACTTGAGGCTGCTCAGTGTCTGAGGAAATGAGAAGTGAAAGCCGTATACATGCAGTTACTTTAACAGAACTTGACTTTGGAATATTGGTTCCTTTATGTAATTTTCCCTGTAGAAAAAGGCAAATTTGTAACAAACCACCCAAGTGCTTAACAACTTTAACGTACCTGGCAAAATATCAGCATCTTCCAGATTTTGCAGCCTTTCCGATAAATGTTAAGCTTCTTCTCTATTTCTTCTGCAAAAAACATGTTGGAAAAGATGAACCACGGAGGAAGTTAAAAATGAATCTTACTTCTTCTCACTTTAGTCCTGAAGGCAGGAGGCTGAGCTGTGAGAGGTGCTCAGCACCTATGTTCCCACTGATACCAAAGCAAACCTTTTGCTTTCATGCCGTGGAAAGCAGGAAACCCCAGCATATCACAGGGCAGAGAAGGTACGGTGCAGCACCAGACACTGCTCTATAGTGACCACAGCACTGTACCAGAACCCACCATCCTGACCCTCTGTTAATGCTCCTACTCACCTACAAGGATACAATGAATAGGTATCTTTGCTGCTCTGCGCCTCAGCTTCCCTTTCATAAACTGGGAGCTTGGCATAGAAAATGGGCCACAGAAGTGAAGTTTTACTACTGCAGCACATCCAACAGCAGCTGACTGACTGTCAGGTGTCACTGGGGTGATAAAAACACCTTTATGAGTGGCAGCTGAGGCACGGGGCAGTGGAGTGACTTTAACATATTGATCAGTTAATTTGCAATGGGCAGGAGTTAAAAGAAAAGGAAATAACACTCACATACCTAGGATGTCATCAAAGGTGGCATGTTCATGGTCCTGGAAACCAAGAGAGAAGACATATCAAGGTTCACTGTCACTACACCAGCTCCCATGACATTATTATAGTCTCTAATATTGCACACAATCCCATTTCTAGGGAAATAGATGCTCTAAGAGCACAATTATACCAACTGATGACTTCTAGTCACATCACAGCAATTACCACCCCAAAACACGTCTCAGCAGCAAAGAAGCTGAAGACTGAATGGTCCATGAAGACCAAGACCATCCAAAGGCTTGAAGATGAATCCTGCAGACAAGTCCAAAGCACATACCATCCATCAGATGTAGTCACATCACCAATGTGTGTTTGGCTCTTAGCCCACATTTTGTAGCCACTCTCTGGCTTTACATGTGTCCAAGCTGGCTAACAAACAGCCACGTTCCCAACACATCTACCTCTAGCATAGCAGGGTCATCAGGACAACCGTACAGCTCTCAAAGGAAGAGAGAGGCAGCAAAGCTAAACCCCGCAGCATCGCTGCCTGCTGCACATGGAGACTGAGTTTTCTGGGCTATCAGTCCCACTCTTCCGTTTCAAATTCAGTGAATATAAAGTGATTAGGAAAAACAGACCCATGACTCCTTGCTGGTGTTTCAGGCAGGACTTCTAGTGAAAAATCAAGGTTAATTAATGACTGACAGGGATGTGCCATCGTACATAGAGTAATGGGGTTCACAGTCCACTGCAGAGCTCTGAGGTCCTGCTCATCCTGTCTAAGGAGGAGCATAAGGAGGAGCCCTAAGACTGGCAACACACAGCTCTGCTTGCGTGCTCAGGCCTGCCCTGCCTTCCCTTGTTAATCTTCCCATGCTGTGTGGCTGGGCCTGCATAGTCTGGCAGCCCACATGTGCAATTTTCACTCCACCTTATTCTTCCACCTAGACCTGAGCCCCCACAAAGCTACCCCAGACCCCAAATCTGCGTTCAGCACACTCCCAGCCATTTCCTGATAGCTTTTCAGAATCATCGTAACAGAAACTAGGGATAGAGACAAAAAAAAAGAAAAAGAAAAAAGAATAATTCTCTGTATGAAGCCTGCTCCCACACATCCAGACATAGCAGAAGTGATATACTTACATAGAGAATGGGGATGATAGAGGGATCGTCCCTGCGGATAATTGTCGGGACGTACTCTGCTTTGGGCACCTTGGAAGAAATGAGCTGGAAGGGGAAAAAAAAGAAGTGCAACAGCATGAGGAGAAGCCAGTAGGGTCTGGACAGAAGCACAAAGGCCATGGTAACAGTGGCCTGTTCAGGCGCTCTCAGGTGTTACCCAAAATAGCAGCTAATCCAGGCTATCTGCATCCCTGTGAAGGTCCTCCAAGTTTTTGGTCCACTACAGAGCACCCCCAGGCCTGCCAAGTACCCCCATGTGTCATAGTCTCCTCAACCCCCAACAGATGAGCACACAGCTCTGCCTAAAAGGCAGGACTGAGTCCAAGATAACAGTTTGTAAAGGGGAGACCAGTGTGCGCAGAGGATGAAGAAGCTTGTGTGTCACCATAAATGGCTGTATCCCAGTAAAGATCACTTCTGTACAGCCTTCCTCTGTGCGAGGGTCTGTGCTTCTGGCTGTAGAGGATTGTTCAAACTGGTACACGTAGCTGGCTGGTGGTGGGACAGCTACATGCCCAAACAGGAACCAGCCAAGGGATGAAATGGCATCAGGCAGAGATAGGCACACAGCTGTAGGATGTCAGGCACATGCAGGTTGCCTGGCAACTCTGGCTGAAGCTTCAGCTAGCTCCATCAGCATGACAGCCCGAGAGGATAGGCCTGCCACCAGCACAAGCCAAAAGGCTATGGGAACATGGGCAATTTGACTGTGCTGTGATTTCAGGCACCTCTGTTCATCGCTGTGAGAGTGGAGCAGGCAGCAGTGCTGGTGGTCTTGTAAGTGCAGCCTGGGTTCCAGCTTGGGCTGGCTTCAAAGCCCTCCCTCCTAGCAGGCAGCACATCACTGCTTTGGCCACAAGGGAGTTAATGTAAAGTTTCTGAAGAGGCACAATATACAGAGTCCAGGGATGGACACTCATCACATACACCACCTGAGGAGACACAGTGGAGGTGTCAAGGGCTGAACAAACCCAAGTGTTGGGTTCCTATTGTTTGGGTCTCACCTGGTCACTTTGCCCTGAGGGCTGAGTCTGCACAGACAGCATGGGAACACATACAACACCAGACTGTCTCCATGTCCTTCACTCTTCCCAAGTCGTGGCAGGACCCATTCAAACACAGTACTGCTGTGCTGGACTGGCAATGCTGCCCCTAGAACAAGCTGGAAGCTTGAGACCACATTTTGCCTGAGTACTTGTGCATATGGCCAAAGAAGGGATGTGTCAGAACCTGGTCCTGTCTGCCAAACCCCACAGAGCAGAGCAGGGGGAAGCCTAGCATCAAGGAATGACAAAAGAGCAGAAAGCATCTCAAAGGATGACATACAGCTCCAAAGCAAATCAGGCAAGTAATAACAGGAGGAAAGGACTGCTGGGACTGGGGACTCAGGTCTCTGATGTCAGGGTTATCGAGACTCAGGCTAACTCGATTCAGTGTTACCGACAGTGCTGCTCTGATTTGGGGACAGACTACAGGTCCTTCCACTTCTAGTTTTCTTTCAACACATTATCCCCACCAGTAACAAATGCTGAATACCATGTCATGTCTTGGCTGATCTCTGAGTGACCCTCATACACACCTGAAGAGGTGCCTATACAAAAGACTTGCCTGTTCCCATGAAGATCCTAAACTGAGCAGCTCTGAAAGGACAGACAGAGCCTGAGTAGATAGGGGTAGCTGAGTTGGAAACCCTCACCATTATTTTTGGTGGAATAAAGTCTTCTCCGTCACATGCCATGGCTTCAAGTTCCTTTTCTGCTTCCCAGTTCAAGTCAAAGTCACCATCCAAAGTGCCACAGGAATCCTGAAGGTCATGGCCTGCCAGAACACAGTGTGCATTACAAAGGCAGAACAGCTTGCCTTCCCCACTCGATCTTGCCTGGCAGCTACTTCACAGGAGGTACCACAAGCCGTGAGACTTGTGCCCTCCTTTATTCCACAGAGTGACAGACACCACACTTCGGGGCCAGTGTCTCTAAACAGACAAATACTTAATGAATGAAGAGTGCACACACAGAGCCCGATACCACATATCACATCACTTTTCATCACTCTCACAGTCACCAAGTTTAGCTTTCAAATGCTACTTCACAACAGTCACTCTGTCATTTCAGAAATGGAGAAGGAGACAGAACACAGACTCTCTACACTTTAACATTACCAAGCTGATGAACAAAAGTCCAAAGACTTCAAAGCTGGTCTCCTTGTAATAATTACTACTCTGACTACATCTTCTGAGTCATTATAAAGAAACTCTGCCTTGCTGGTCAAACTGATCCTGGCAGAGAAGTCGCAGAGCGTGAGGACAGCTGTAGCAAACACAGTAGTATTGCAACAATATAGTTGAGTTTGCTCTCCAGATTGACCTTACCTGTTGGCCTTCAATGCCTCCTGGGGAAAAAAACATCTGGAAGGAATATAATTGACCATTAAAGGTTAAAAATAGAGATGGTTCCCTGAAGCCAGGGACTGAGGAAAGAGAATGGAGATGCCTTTATTTGTGCCTTTTGGGATGTCCGAGTGTCACTGGGCAGTGCCTGGAGCCTGTCTTTTCCATTCGCCTCTGAGTTAGCTGAGGGACCGGGGAGGAATCAGACTGCAAAGGAACAATCGGGTCATGTTTTGAACCTGGCCTTTCATACATTTCCCCCTACAACCTCGTACGGTGTCTTCTACAGCTAGGAGGGCTAGAACTTGTGCTTACCTGGTAGGTCAGTTCATTTCACTAGTGACATTCATTTACAATACAACCCATTTCAACGTGGGCAAACTCATATCCACCAAGTCTCTTGCCTACAGGATTTCAATCAAATCTGGGTAAAACAGCCGTTCCCTTTATAAAAAGACAGTGGGAAGATGCTGGCATTTCCTCCTGTAAATTAACACAACAGCATCTCAGTGCCCACAAGTAGAACATCGCAGCGTTTCCGGGGACTCCCAGAGGAATTCCTGGCAGCCCAAACGAAGATCGGATTGCCCCAAGCTATCCTCTGTGCAGCCAGCATGGCAAGGAAATCAAAGCTACATCTCTCGGAGCACTGCAGCTGTGCTCTTGAGCTATTCTAGCCTAGGAAAGAGCTCAGAAGGGGCTCTTGCATGGGAAGCCAGGCAGGTTAGCCCCACTCTGGTGAATGTAGCCTCAGACTGGTGTGCTTCCAGGTAGGTTGTTTTGGTCCCAAGCGAATAAGGGATGATGGAAACAGAGGGCTGCAAGAGAGCTGTACCACCGGGTATCCTTTGGCAACTGCACAGTAACATGAGGTTAGATGCGTTGTGCTCTACAAATAAATATAGGTACACACAGATGAACAGGTGCATATACCTGGCGTGTTATTTGCTGAGATCTCACAAAACTAAAAGGATCACAGGTGGGACAAAAGGGCACAGAGAAGTTACTCCAGTGGGACTCCAGTCAGCACCTCAGCTGGAGGATTTGGCCACAGGAGGAAGCTCAAAGGACTCAGAACTCACTTTCTCGAGAGTCATGGAAGGAATCAGCTTTGATGGGAGTCGGGTCACTCCAGGACCTGCTGAAGCTCCTCTCACGCCGTTCGGCAAATGCTAGGATAAAACCAAAGCACGACATTAACAGACTCCAAAGCCACCTCTGTTGCTGCCAGCAAAACAAAACATCCAGTAGATTTCCACCAAAGCCACACATCATGGACTCCCCTGTGCTTGCTCTTCCACTTGCCAAATGCGAGTCCCTTCCACACAACAAACAAGAGTCTATCTTCTAGACAGCAGAAGACAAAGTGCCCACTTTCTGAGCAGGAACATCATGGGGTATGTAACACAGAAAAAGGAGGACACTTGATGGTCTCCTTAAACGCACACAGCTCAAACCTCAGTTTAATCAAGGCTATTCTAGTGTCCCAGTGTAAATGCTCTGACTCAAAGGCCTCACACAAAGATGTACTCAACAGCTAATGACACATACATGACCAGAAGGCGGCAGTAGTTCTCCAGTCAGTTCTCCCTTCACGTTCTAGTGACATCCCAATCAGTGCTGGACCAAACAGATGGGGGTAGTCTGGAAAGCTCATGCTTTCTAAATTTTGTCGCAAGAGGAAATCCTTCAGTTTTTGCTTGCCTGCACTCTTGTGAGCGCTCCCCCCTTAGCCTTTTTTTTTTTTTCTTTTCCAAGGGGCATGATATTGTTTGTACCGGCATTTCCTAAGTGGAATCCAGGGAGCTTGGCCCAGCTGGCTGCACCACAGGCAAATTCCTGGGAACTGCCAACCACAATGTCTGACTTGGCAAGCCCATGTGAGAGCCATTATGCCTAGATTAACAGCCACTTATAGCCACTAATACCTATTTCTGGTAGCAGACAGAGCAAGTTTGCTGCAGCGTATCTAGTAACAGCATCTCATGTCAGCAGCACAGGAATTCATCTGCAGTACAAGAGCTGAGAAGCAACCTGTCCACGGCTGCAGTGTGTCCAAGTGTGGGTGTCCAGGGAGACAAATCACATAGTAAGTTCTTCAGGTGATCTCCATCCTCAGCTTTCATTTAAAACCAGGCATTTAGCTATTGTGCACATGAAGAAAGCTTTGAAAACATGACCCGAGAGTTACCATAGCAGAGAGGCATGCCTGAACTTCCAGACAGCTCTAGGGGAAGGTGAGCCCTGTTCATTTCAGGCAGTGCTAACTCAGATGCCAATAAAGACACTTTAAAGGGCAATGCTCTTTGCTGTTCACTTCCCACAGCATATGAGAAAGGAGAGGATAGGAAAGAATGCAAATTCAACTAAGCAACACTTTGCTGTGGGCAGTCTGTACATGATGCCTGGCCAAGGGGTGGGAAGAACAAGCTGTTTCCTCTTCTGGAGCAATCCTCAGCTCTCAGGAGCCAGTTACACCATTCTCAGACCATTTCACAGCGATAAGGGAGCTGGCCCAACCAAGTTATGGAGGAGTGTTGCCTTCCTCAGGGAAAGGGAACTGCCATTTCCCAGGCCTAAGAGGTGATTTCTTCCCCAGTGCAGCATAACACTCCCCCCTTGCTCCAATCTCTTCCCTGTTCCTCTTCTTTCTCCCTTCCGCCGTCCTCTCAGCTCCCACCAGGCAGCTTTCCCCCAGGTCCTGCTGCAGAGATGGTGGTGGGACAGGGGAGGAGAAAAGAGAAAGCCACCAGTCCACATGGCACATAAAGCACCGACTGTCCCCAGGGAGCCACAGCTGGTCCGCACCTTCAGTAAGAGGCCACGCAGCCCTCGCCAGCTCTGCTGAACTCTCAGCTCTGGTTCTCCTCACAAGCGTTTATGCCAGTGATCACCGAAAACCACACGCACACAGGACAAGGACACTGCAGCTCTCCTTCCACTCCTTGCACTGAGGCCACAGAGATCTCCCATGACCAAAGCAGAGGGTCCTTGGAAATAGCTTACAGGCTGCTTGCAGACATCCGTGTGTCCTGGAGACTTGCAACAACCTGGCCTTCTTTTTTGTAGGGTAAAATGGTACCAGCAGGTCAAATCCTTTCTCCGCCCCAATGCTAGGTCCTTTCTACCCGCATCTGCATGCAACATAGGGTTCCCTGTGTCCCACCATAACAAACCCCAACTCCTCATGGCCACATGTTACAGGTGCTCACTTACTTTGTGCTTTAACCCTTCGGCTCCCCACCATGCGGAGGTGCTTCCGAAAATTCCTGAAAGAAAGGCCAAACACAACCTCTGAGAAAGGTAATACAAAGCAAAACCTGGCCCCAGCAGGACTGAAAAAACAGGGAGGAAAAAAAATAAAATTGAGAAGACAGCATATTTCCTTCTGGCCATTCAAAAGCTGGAGACCAGGTTCCCAGTCTGCACCTATTCAGCGCTGGGGACAGTTATGTTTGTCAAGACTGTGGCTGTTTCTTTGAACTCCCTGCACTGGTGGTATGGGACAAGTGAGGTCCTACACGGCAGTCCTCTTCTCATGGCCTGCTTTCACTTTCCTATGACTAAGGCATACCTGTACTGTAACTTTGCTGAAGACACAGCCACTGCCCATGCTGGCAATGCTCCCTCTTTTCCTGGTAAAGAGCAGTAACTGCTCCCCTCTCTCCTTACTTCCACACACACTTCAGCAGGAAAGTGGGGTGCCCAGGCTCTGCCCTGCTAGGCAGCATGCACACACCATGCTCATGGCTGTGCTCATTCCCAAACGCATTCACAGCAGCTGCTAAAATCCTACCCATGCTGTTAGCAACCATGCAGCCCGTACTGCTCTCCAGGGCAAAGAGCTGGGAAAGACTGACACAGCTTCTTCCTTCTCAGACAGCACTGTTCAGGAAGCCTGACTGTCCTCATGGGCCTGCTCTCCGCTAATGCTACCTGCCTAATCACATGTTTCCCTGCCCAGGACTCACAGGCAGAGTTCAGCGGGGCTGCAGAGTACACAGCTCCAGGGTAAAGTCCACCACAGGGTAAGCCTTGGGGAGCAGCTACACCCCATAGTCAGGTCTGTGTAAAACAGACCGTCCTGGCCACTCCTGAGAGACCATGGCAAAGGCACTCCTCATCCAGCCCCCCCGAGGGCCAGGGACCTGTTTCCCTTAGTTTCTCATCACTCGCCTAGACAGGAACCAAACAGGACAGGAACTAAACAGGACACCAGAAGAGACAAAGGGAAGAAGCAGCACATGACTATCAAGAAAAGTGTCACCTCTCCGTGAACCCTACTTAGCCAGGGTGACTTCACTCTGCAGTGCAGCCCCCATGGCCCCCAGGGATGTCAGCGAGCCCATGTACCAGCAGCCTGCACAGAGAGGGGGAGCCTTCCTAGATTCACTTCTGCCCCACCAACATACACCGCAGACATCAAGCAAGAGACTACTGCTGGCGAAACGGGTAAAAAGACAAGTCGTCTAGCTCACACACAGGTTAGTGGGATGAGTAAGGACATGATACAACCATGCAGATGCTTTAGCAAACTAATTGGACTAGAAGACACTTCCAGGACCGACATGAAGTTGTTCAGAGAAAGTCAGATCCGTCTACTCCTACATAGAGAGATCAACACAAACGCAGCCCTCATGGGAGATTACTTAACCCATGCCACCTTCTGCACTGTCCCCCACTTTGGCTTTGGATCCCATGTTGTCATCAGGATCCAAATTCAGCAGCTCAGGAAGGAAAACTAGCAGCTGGGTAGTGAAGCTTGGGAACAACATTATTCCATGACAAATTTCCATCTGCACTTGAGCTATTAATGTTATTTTACAAAGATTTATTTTAGCTCTACTTGCATGTGTGAAGATTCACTGCTGTGGATCAGACAACTGCCCCCTTTAGACAAGTAACTAAACCAATTCGCTTCACTAACACATGCTGGACTGGCTCTATGTACAAAGCCTTCTGGGGTGTGTGATGACTGATAACATGGGCTGTCTTATGGTGCATTAGATTCAAATCCAAATAAATACAATATTTTAAGGGAACCAGGGTCAGTCTTTACACAGAAAGGTCTTAGACATATGTTGTAACTCATCAGAATGAAAATCTTTATGGTGCATTGTGAGACCAAGATCATACCAGACACTGAGCACCAACCTTAATTGCCAAGGCCACTGTTAGATCATTTGGGCTTTTGGCATTTTGGAGTAAAATCCATTTTTCTGTTAAATGCTGTTGTCCTCCCCATAGAGGAGCTTCTTCAGACCCTGGGGGGAGAAGGGGTAAAGCAGTCTTTGCCATAGAAGAGTGCTGCTCCCAGCTGCCTGGACAGCTTGGTCTCTCCCATGAGTGTGGGTTGAGGGCAGCTGTCTAGATACCTCTCCTAAATACTGCTGAGAGCAACTCCAGGTGGAATCCAGCTGCTCAAGGTTAACCATTGCACTAAATGCTCAGAGAATGGACAAAGGCCTTTATTTCCTTCTCATCTCTTCTAGAAAAAAAAGCACTTTGGAAAGGAGGTGCACACCTGGGACTGCCTCTTAATGTGGGCATCCTCTGGTCATCTAGATCCTTCTGAGGGCTTTTTACAGCTGTATTGGCCCTCAGGCCCCTCTGTGCTTGCATGTTAAGCATGAATGGACTGGCACAGCACCCCTGGGGGAGCCGCAATCTGCTCTGTGAGCAGTGGGGCTACATAAACCTGCCCAGTCTTCCTGCCTGGCTCCTGCAATTGCACCCAGAAAAGCCAGTGTTATTTGATTACCTGCAAGATCTCTTCACCCATCAAAATTCAACAAGCATCCCTCAAGTTACAGTGATAAAATTTCCCTATTACTCCCTTTCCTGAACAGTCCTCCTCCTGACAGGCTCCAGCTTGCCATGTGGTCTGCACGACCCTATGCCACCTCCACAGTATCTATCCCAGCCAAAAGGTCTCCAAGACACAGCAGCCCTACTCCACACTCTGCAACTCTGCCTGCAGTGGTTCATTTGCACTCTCCAGAGAAGCTTTTTCGTTACCCAGAGGTCAGCGACAGAATTACTGACATACATCAATGCCCTGCAAAACTCCTGACAGCACCTCTCACGTTCTCTTCCCCAGCTCCTCCTTGCAGCAATCACAAGGTTCAGCAAACCACTGGGCATCACTTGCTCTCGAGGCAGCATCCATTGAGTGCCATGCCACCCAAACCAGCCTCCCTGTGCACCAGACACACAGGGCCAAGCACTGAAGGGGCTGCGCAATAACAACTGAACTTCTGAAACACCTGAGGCCATGAAGGGCTGCACAACAAGCATTCAAACTGTGGTTGGGCTGGGGTCCTCCTCAGTCCCTGGAGAAGAGAGCTGAACGCTAACTACCAGCAATCCTTACTGCTGGCCAGGGTCTGCTTGCATGACACAGCCAAAAATCCATCATTGCTATCCTATCTCCTCTCTTATGACAAGGTAAATGCAGATGGGTTCCAACTATACAATTCTGCCTAGACCTTCAGTGTCCACAGGAGGTGAAGGGACATGCTGGCCACTCAACACAATGATGACATGACTCCGTCCTCTATCTTGACCACATCGAGGTATATGACTCCTACTCCTGTACTCGCAAGCCACATGAACAAGCCATTTTCTAACAAAGACTTGCCTCTGTCTAACAAATTCTGAGAAATCTCTTTCTTTTTAAAGACACACTGTCTATTTATTTATAGTGTCTTAAGTTTTGGTTCTTATTTCTCTTTATTATTGATGAAAAAAACCACCACCCTTAAGTTGCAAAAAAAAAAAACCAAAAAACCACAAAACAAACTTCCTGGCAATTTCCCAGTTAAGAAAACCTGATGTTTTTCTCCCGCGCTGTTTTGAACAGTGCTGAAGTCATCATGGCAGTTTTTAACCAATGACACAAACGCTGTGTTATCCTTCTTAGTAGGCTGCCAAAATACGCGGGCCTTGGCACATTTAAAAAAACAGAACAGTTCTGATTACCACAGTGGCTAAGTGATGCGCCCTGTGAAGCCAGCAGAGGGAAACCAGGGCCCTTCTGTAATAGCCAGATGGGTCCCAATAGCCAGATGGGGAATCAGTCCCCATTGCCTTTTCTTTTCTTTTTAAAAAAAGATTTAAAAAATGGACTTCTGGTCACTAGAGATGTTAATTTTGCCTAGGTCTCAGACTTTTGAGGTGCATTTGTAGATGCAGTGACAGCACACGAAAAGTATTCAGCTAACCTCAAACAAATTCCAAGTATTTGGGAGAGGGCTGGGGAAATTGCATCTTTAATTTTTTTTATATATATTATATATTTTTCTGCCTGAGACACAGATCCTGTATATTATATTTGGAAGCTTAAAAGAAACCTGACAGTGTTCCTTTAAGAAGATGGAGATCAGCGATCTTGAGCACTGCAGCATCATTCACCTCCACATTTCCAACACAGCCACTGCTAGTGTCCCTACGAACACCAACACAGACAGGGACAACCACGTTCAACGTCATCAAGCGTCAATAATGACACCCGAAGGGCCCATGCAACACCAGGCAAGGTTACAGCTATGGGAGAAAACGGGCCCTACCTCTGTATAACAGCTGCAGAATCATTCTCTCGTTTCCGTCTCTTCCTCTCTGCGTAGCCCCTGAATGCCCTGGGAAACCATTTTAAGCCATTAACCAACTACACAGCTTTGAACTGGAGAGGACACGAAACACAGACAGGAAAGCTCTCACCAGACAACAGAGAGAGATTAGGCTGACCGAGGAAGTCAGCCAGCCTTGCAGGACTGCGTGCGAGTCAGGGGCCAGGCAAAAGACTCACCAAACCAAAGGTCCTCACTCACTAGGGTAGGTGGCTGGACAAGCAGTTGTTCCTAAAGCAAACATGAGTGGCCAGAGCACAGCCCAAAGAACGGAGGCGAGCAGCCATCATCCCTGCTACGGAGGAATAGACCTAGGAGACTGCAGACACAAAACCTCTGTACACCAGGATCAAGAGGGATAAAAGCATGCTAGCAACTGTAGTCTCCATTTCGAAGATGAGGATGGTTGCAGTGTGATCCATGTAGGCCTACGAAGTGTAGCCATCTAACCTCTTGCCAGCTAACAAACAACCCTAGCATAGGGAAAGCATGAGTGAATATGATGGACAGGAGAGTAGAGGAGAGAAGAGGAGAGTTTATCCAGGACATCAACAGACAAGGAAATAAAAAACCAAAGATTATACTTACGAGATGCTAGAGATTCCAGGAGATGCAGGGAAAAAGAAAGAAAAGATGAATTCATTAGTGCTCAGCCCTGGCCAGTGTTCTGAGGGAATTCTCACTCCAGAAGGAATATTTCTTGTTAGGTGGAAGGAAATGGCTTTTTAAATTAAACATTTCTTAGTGGTGAGACTCCTATCTGACCGAACTAAATCCTCCCTGGGGCAGCACTGGCATGTGGCTTGGATGCAAATTAAGCTCCATGTAGAGCCAGAGAACATGCAGATGCACAACTGGCAGCTGAACGTGCCCTGTCAGGCTACAATGGGAGCTCAGCATCATGGGCTTCTGGAGCAGGGAGACCTTCTCCCACAGAGACAAGGACTTGTGAAGTCAGCTCATGCTGCCTGGTCTATGAAGGAAGCAAGCACAGTGGGCTGAAAATGCTAGAGCAGAGGCCAGGAGGACAGGGACACATGGGGGAGCCACCCCAGCCAGCTTTAGGGAGGTGCCCTGAACTTTTGGAGATGTTTCTATGCAATTTCTAGAGGCAGCACAGATTCTCCAGAAACATTAACCAAGGAGCTACGTTAACCAGGGGAGCTGTGCTCCTCAAGGGTTTCCTTAGGGCACTGTTCCCCAAACCAACCTCGCTTTGGCCTTCAAGCCCCGTAAGCCCTGCCACGGGCCATCATCCTGCAACAAACCTTGTGGCCAGCAAAGATGGCTTTAGATAGCAAAGAATATGCTGAAGGGCAAAGGAAATGTGCTGATTTTGTGCATGGTTTGATGTATCAGATCAGAACTGTAAAATACCATTCACTGTTACCAGCCAACGTTTTTAAAGAGCAAAGCAAGTATCTGTCAAATTGCCTTTGGGCTGCCCACAGGCCCTGTCAGCCTAGTGCCCAGGAGCATTAACCAGCTGGGATGCCACCAGATTTACAATCTCTGAAAAGGAGGCAGGGGGACATAGGGAGTCAAGTAAGAGAAGCAGCACTAGGACAACACAGAGAGAGCAGAAGCCCATGGAGGCTCCTCACTTCCACTGTCATGGTGGGATTAGCACCCCACCACCACGCATCAGATTCTGCAGACTGGCACCAGGCAAATGCCTCCCCAGTGCTGTTCCCCATGCCAGGAGGGTGGGTCACACCTCCAGCTGAGCTGGAGGGGAAGGGCATGAAGATAAGCGGTTTTTTCTGGGGGATGCAGATCCTTTCCAACATCTCAGCAGCAAACCCTCTCCCCAACTCCAGATCCAGCCGTCCCTGCATCAGTCCCTACAGGTCTGATCCAGTCTGGGTTATGCCAAGATCAACAGTCAGCCTCTTTTCGGGATTTGGGAAGGGAAAGGTACGAGGGAAAGAAGAAACAGCAGAGAAACGCATTACAAAAATGGACACCAGATTAGACAAGGAGAAATAAAGAGAGCAGTAGAGCTGAGGGTGACACAGACATTGGAAGAAGGACACAGGAAAAAGGTGACAAGGCTGGAAAAGGGCTTTAGAAGGTGGAACAGTGTCTCATTTCCCTCATTGCTTGCCTTGGCTTTCCAGACAGGTAGGAAATACTTAATCGGGAATACAGCATTTCCTGACAAGCTGGGTACAATCTGAAAATGAGGCTTCCCTTATTCTCTTCAGTCCTTTGAGAACTGCCTCCTCCCAACATACAGCAACCAGAGGCACCAAAACCTGTGTGGAGTGTGGAAGGAAAGACTGTTCCTAACTCAGATCTGTTCACACTTTGCAGAGATTTTACTGACACCTTCTTCAAATGACCAGACCAGCACAGAAGCTGTAGGGCTACATCTCATCCTATAGAGATGCACTCCTCTGGAGTGATGGATGCAGGGCAAGCCTAGAATAACCGTCCCTCAGGGCAGTGGCTGCAGCAGAAGCAAGTGGTGGAGGGTCTCAGCTGGTGGTCCCACAGGATCCTCGCTCTGCAGAGGCAGCCAGGGACAGGGCACAGTATCACAGAGAAAATAAGGGAAGCAGGGAAGAGCTGGGTAGCCCAAGGAGTAAAAGAAGGTAAAACCGAACAAGTCAGAGTAGTAGGAAAGAGAATTCATAAGTGCAAAAGAGTTATTAATACGAGACAAGGTTCTCTCTCTCTCAGCCCCAGACTGCGGTGCCAAACATACAAGTCAATTGCTCCAGGCTCTCAGATATAGCTCTGAGTGGGCCGCAAACTTTAAGATACACAACAAAAGCTACAGCAGTAGTTTCACTTACGCTTGCATAGTTGTAGTAGCAGTTTGAAAACTGAAGAGGTTCTCTTTTGGGAACCAGGTTCGTATGGGGACATCATCTGGAAGAGAGAGAGCAAAACCTGAGAATCCAGTGGGCAGAGACATTGTTCAGACAGCAAGACTTTCCAAGCTCTTGCAGTACTTTTCTTCAGCATCCTGCCCTGTACTAAACAGGAGAGTCTCATCCTCCTTATATATATGCACACTACCACCAAGTGTTTTGTAAACTTATGCTAAGCCTGTCTATCAGGCTACTAAATGAAGAATGAAAGCCCTAAGTGTAGAAGATTACAATAATCCAGGAATTACAGAAGAGACATTCAAACAAGAAAAAAAAAATGGGGAAAGAAACATTTTTCATTAAAAGCATTTTCCAGCCTCTGCCTTTTCCTTAGTACCATTGATTTGAAATGTCCCATTCATCCAGTTCTTTGACAAAGACTCCTGTGGAAGACAAAAAGCATTCACCTTCCTCTCTTCAGAACTGTAAGCCTGAGAAATACTCTCTTTTTCCACCACTGAAGTTTCACTAAACCCCTCACACACCTGCTCCTGATGACCTGGCCTTCATCAGTTTTTCTGGTTTTAGAAGTCAAACTGCACATCAGCTATACAATCTGCATATTAAGACTGTGCTTATTTGGTCCCCTACATTTGTAAACTGCCCTGCCTGAACGAACGTGGATTATTTCCTAATTCCGTTGCATTAGGACACCGCATCATCTTCACGTAATGACCACTAAGACAAAAAGCAGGCAGCAAAATAAGTCACTAATTATGTGTGTGGGATGGTGGTGACCAGGAGGAATCTGACCAAGTAGCAGCTCCTACTGAGAACTCTCAGGCTGAACTTGGTCAGGCAGGGAATCAGAAGTGTATTAAAATCCATGGACACAAGACATGCAAGATCCGAGTGGATTGGATCCCTGTGATTTGGGGCTACCTGATTTTTCACCTTGCTTCACTTCCAGTTTGTGGCTTCCTTGCTTAATGCCTTGCCACATGTTGCTGATCATGTGTCTTGCTTTACTCATTCAAGTTTTAAGATCATTAGCAACTATGGTATCTTAGACATTAATATTCTGGCATTGTCAAGGGTATTTTTTTATTCACTTTCATTGGCCAAAACCCAATCAAACCCTGCATGCGTACTGCAGACATAATTACTACAGACCAGATATCTTACTAAATGTTCTGTACAGATCATTATCTACTACAGACTGATCCTGCTGTTTCCTGAAAGTACATAAAGTGGCTGCAATTACAGATGCAAAAAATGCTAAATACAACTGGGAAGGCTTCCTTTGAAGTGAAACTTCCAAGGAATCATACAGAAAGCTGTAACAGACACTCCTTCTCAGCTAACAGTTTAGGTCAAGCCTTCTATAAAGGCACCCTAAGGAAATACATATGTTAAATGGAAACTGCTTTCTAGTATGCTAAATACTTACTATGAAGTTCCTATGTCTGCTTTCCTCCAAAAAACAGATAAAGAAGAAATGCAAAACAGCTCAAACTGTAAATGAATTACTTGTTTGAAGTCTTGAACCCACAAATGTGGTAAAGGAGGAGAAGTCGTACAAATTCCTTTTTAGCCAACAATTCTGTACAGACTTGTCACGGACTATGCATCTCAAAAGACTGACAATCTCTTAATATATTTTACAGCTTTTAAGCCACTAGCTTCAATTCAAAGCAGAGCTTATGAACAACAGCTAATACCCTTATGAGGTTTTGCCTGGACAATAGCTGGAAGCCTCCCCTCCTTTTCTGATAAACAGGAGTCAACACAGGAAAGATATCACTCCCCTACCCATAGCACTCAATGGAGAATAAAGGATTCGTGACCCTTCAGAGGGGCCTCTTTACCAGCCAGAGGTAGAAGAGTAGCAGAGAAGCACACAGCTGGGGACTAGGGAGCACAGCTCAGACCCAGAGCTATCCAGCTAATTAAAATTCAGATTATAAGTATGGCTGTTTTGTTTCCAGGAGCAGGTAGCTTGCTCCTTTTTGGCCAGGCAGAGCACCTTGTTCTCCTTTCTTGGTACCACCAACTGTGATTAAATAGTCAAGGAACCATGGGCCTGGGTAAGATTGAAGGAACACCACCACCACATTTCGCATCTCCAGCCTCTTGCCAGGCTGCATGAAAATCTCAGCACCTCTGCCCATGAGTGGATGTGTTTGTATCAGATGCTGGGAGCAGCACAGGAGAAAACAGCTTGTGCTTCTCTGGAATGGTGTTAGGCATCATAAACTCAGCATAAAAATCCATATTAAACTATGCCAATCCGGCCTAACTGCCATGAGTGTTGGTTTGCAGCAATAACGTATCATGTAAATCCAGAGAAAGGAGCACTGTAAAGTGAACCTCTGGGGAAATTAGTCTCTCTCTCGTTTCCATTCATCTCTGCTCCATTTTCTCTGCTAGCCATGCATGAAGGACATTCCAAGAAATACCTCTTGCAACCTGTGACAGTTGTGCCATTCAATTCTCGGTTTTTCTCTGAGTAACAATGCTTGGATAGAGAGTGCAAACGAGACCAAGTTGAGAAAACTTTCATTCCATGATGCCAGTGCTATGATGGGATTTGGTCTTAGAGGCACAGTGCTGCCTGTGCAGCCACACGTGCAAGCACTCAGAAGCTTGAGGTAAGCACCGAGGGTAGCTGCTGCCTGCTTGTATGAAACACAAAATACTCATGGAGGCATCTGCAGGTTTGGTGCTGTCCGCTTTGTTCCCACTAAAGTAATTATTCCGATATATTTTCAGAAAGGCAAATCTCCATTTCACACTGATAACTGGCCCTAACAAAAATGCTGCCTAGTTGAAAACAGATATTATAAATCCAAAGGCCCAGAAACAGAACATGGCATCCCTCTACAGCATTTGCTAGGACATGTTTTCCAGCAGAGGCGTTTAGCTCCAGCTATGGGGAGTTAAACTCTTCCATTAGTGATCTGGAGCTTTCCTTTGGTTCTGTATCAAGTAACCTGCTTCAGTCCCACAGTGCATAGTACAATTTTGATTTGTTCAGGAAAGTTTTCAACACAAATCCATCAACACTAGAACAGGAAATCTTCACTTTCTTAATTCAGTACGCGTCATGAGGCTGCAACCAATTCAACTCAGCACCCTGATCTCCAGAAGACCAAGCCCCTGGGGTTGTGATCTCCTTTCCTGAAATGGCTTTCTTTTTCTATCCTCACACAAGCTTTCTGGCTGTGCTGTCATATGCACAGCCATCTTTTAACAGCTAAAACACATGTGATCATAAAACCATAAAAGGTTTCCATACAGGAAAACTCTTCTCACTCCTTTTCTTGCACTTAGGCAATAAAAATAATAAAGTCTAAACTTGCACATGTAGTGAAGCCCAAAAATCACAGGGAACAAACAGAGGAACAATGCTTAAAAACTACACACAGGAGTTAGTGGGACTGTAGGTGTTCTGCACATTTGATAATCAGTTCTTTTTTTTATTATTATTATTCAGTATTAGGCCATGTATTAATTTAGTCACATAATTTCAAGCATCTAGGTATGAAAATATGGTCCAGAACCCAAACTTTCAGTGATTTTACCTGCAGTAAATATCACTATGATATTTACCAGGAAACTATGAACCCAGGAAAGATGTACACTTTGATCTCCACAGTCCTTAATCTCTTTCCAAGGAGAAAACCTTGACCTTTCTTGGCTGGACACTCCACCCTAAAAGCCTTGATGTGTGTTTACAAATAAAAAAATCAGACAAATTAGGTCAGACTCTTTGCCAGCCACATACAGAGCTGACAGGCAAAGATCGACTGCCTCCTAGCTTATAATTCAAAGCACATAGATTGTGACATATATTTGATTAATGGTTAAGTTTTTAAAAACAGTCAGGGATTTTTTTCATGCAGTTGAATAAATTACAAGCCCTGTTCCCTGAGAACACTGAACAAATGGATAGTGAGTGGGGAAGAAAGTCCAATATTGTATTATTTGCTAGTATTTATTGAAATCCCATAAGGTGGCACTACTAGAGGGACCCTGCTAAACTGCTTCCAGCCATGCAGATGAGCATTTTGGGGACACACCGAAGTACAGAAGACCATACCTGAGCTGAGCTGAGGCTCCTGCTAAGCACCCTGGCACATTCAGCCCCAGAATGAGGCAGAGGAGAGAGGGTCCTCCTCTGAACTGCCTCCTGGATGAGTATAAATGTAGGTGCTTTGACACAGTCCCTCCTCTCTTGCTCTTCCTTCAACAGAAAGGGAGCCCACAGAGATCACCCTCACTAAGCTACATGAAGCTGTCACGAAAACCATCCAGGTCATCTGCTGCTTACAAGCTAGAAGCAGACACAATGGAGCTTGGATGAGCTGGCCTCAAACTGAGCTTAGCTTATTTCAAACTCCTCCTTTGACAATTCCTTTCCACGAGTGCTGGTGCAAGGTAACAGTAAGGTGCTGCAGGAGAAACACTACAGGGCCCAACCTGAGGCACATGGCAATGAAATCTCCATGCTGGGATGAGACGCGTGTCACCCTTCACCTCTGTCTCGATAAGTCCCTTTGTGTCCTCTCAGCACCCAGCATTCACCCTTACTTACCAGACACTCGATCAACACTATACATCCTCTCCAGCCTTTTTCTGTGCCACCCGGTCTCACTGGATTGCTGCTGCTCCAGGTCAAAGGAATGCTGGGAAGGGGCAGCCAGCCGGGTGCAGTTTGGGCACTCCTTGGAGCCCTGCCGGCTGCCTGGCCAGCCCTTGCAATGCCTGCTAACACCGTGAGAGCCGCCAGCACTGTGCACTTGGTGGCCATGGTGGCATTCCTCTTGGGCAGCCCCCTTCATCACCACCAGTTCCATACTTTCATTCTCATGGTCCGACAGCATCGGCCTCTCGCCGGAGATCGTGTAGACTCGTGGCTTCGGTCCCTCGCTTGGCATCTTCTCTGCCTGCTCCTCAGAGAAGCTCCTCTCAAACTTGCCGTCTGAGATGACGGAGAGCCTGCGCTTGTTCTGTGCTGCCTGCTGCATCTCAGGGGAGTCCTCCTGTCCGATGTAGGAGTCTGCTAACAGGTGATCTGAAACAAAGGGCACACTTTCCTTAAAACCAAAGCACCCCAAACACTGACAAATTCAGGAGGCTCTTTGTTACTGTTGCAGAAAGGGGAAGGGGGGAAAGAGATATGGTAGGTTACCCCAGGAATCTTTTCAGATCAGCATGTGCCCATAGCCTTCTAAATCTCCAGAGCTGGTACTGAAATCAGAGACATTTCTCACAAATACACCCAATATTTTAAGCGTGCGTGGCCACCAAAAAAGGCCAGAAGCAAATGCAGGTCTCATTGCACAGCCTGAAAATGCTTATGTACAAAACAGCCCCTGTTCAGCTGCGCAGTCCTGTCTGCTTCAGCAGGTTTAGCCACACAAGGGCTACCAAGCTGGTGAAAGTTTGCAGAGCAAGGACCAGCACCAACTTCTCTAAGAAGTGACAAACTCTGAGTGTTTTGTGCACCAAGTTATTATTTTTTTAGAACTAAAGGAAAGGGGCAAACCACCAGGGTTTGGTCCGTCCCGTCCCCCCCAATTTTCTGCCAATTGGTTTGACATGAAAGAAAGACAAAAAGGCTTCAGCCGACAGCTGCAACACAGCATCCCGCTCTCTGCAGCACCCCTGGTTAGCAGGCCTCGTCGTGTGTGCAGATGGCAACAGCACAGCCTGCGGAAGCTGTCCTGAAGGAAAATACAGCCGCTCCCTTTGTAGGGAAGGAAGATCGAAAGGAGAGAGGCCCATAAGTGCAACTATCTTTGGAGCCCACACACTGGATGAAGTGCCAGGAAATCTCAGCATTTCCATGGCAATTCCATGCATGAACCCAACAGTAGCTCCCACCCACCTGCTAATCCTTTTTTCAAGCGGCTGTTAATTACCTCTTACACTTCCCTTCAGATGGGAAGCAGCTAGGGGACTGTTAAAAAGGCTCAGCAGGGAATGCGTTATTCATGTGACTACTACCCCAGAAAAAATAAAATCATTAGTGTCCAGCACAGACAGCAGCCTTTTAAACAGAGGCAGAAAGCAAACCCAAGCCTTTACTTCATTAGATATTTAATGAACATCTTTCCTTTAGCTACTGAGTCATGAACTGGAAGAACTTGGCAAGAATGTGAGGCTTAGCTACCTTGTAGCTGGCCATGAAGGGATGAAGGAGGAAGAGACCTATCTCAGGACGAGCCTGATGTTGTATGTGTGCAACATGGACCTTTTACTGCTGCCACATTCTGCCTCCTATGAAGTGCTCTTGTGTCACTCTGAAAAGAGCCCTCCCAAGCTGAGGACGTACACTTGCACCTTTTGAATCCAAAGCCCACCCTGGACTGTGCTTATGTTGCCCAGGGCCTCTCCCCCTGCTCTGAGACTGAACTGAATTGAGTGGGTACTGATAAAGTGTGTCACCCTTACCTCATTCTTCTGCTTGAGATACAGCTTCCTCCAGCACCACTAGGAGATAAATACATCTCTGGCCACTCTGCTCAAGAACTGACTGTCAGGACCATTTAGGGTGACACAAGTCAGGTTTGTTTCGTTTGTCTCCTAGTGAGCCCTCACAATCTCTGGATACTGTAGCTGGCAGCTGTGTGACTCCTTGAGCTGACCAGGAGGAACTGCCTGTAGGAGTCCTAAAGAAAGAGCTATGCCTCTTGAATCTACAGCTGATGCTGTCTTTCCAGACTTCACATGAAGTCCAAAACATGTGCCTAGGTGCAGTGAGGAGTCATGCACCTCACTGATACTGTCTAGGTAATATATGAAAGGCAGGCAGTGGTCTAGTTCACCCACACTCTCCTGCACAGAGACAGCGTCGACATGTGCACCTCTTCCAGGAGGAAAGCCTGATGGACAACACTGGCCATCACCAGAACAATTACAAGCAATTCAAGTGGAAGAAGCTGCTCCGCCAGCTGTCATTCAACAGCTTGTCCCCCAAGTCCTACCAGCTGCAGGATACAGTGTCATGGACCACCCAGTGCAGAAACTGTTCACAGGCTCCAAAGTCTCTCCAACCACTTGTCACCCCTCAGGAGGCAGCAGGCCACCACATTTGCTTTCCAGCAACTCAGACTCTCTCCAGTTCCAAGACTAACTGTGCCCTAGAGTGGGCATGTCTTGGGAAAACACCACCAAATGACTCTTCAAGACCTGCCAAGATCTGTGCTGGCTAATAGTGCCAAGCACACCATTTTTTAAATTAAAAACCAAAGGGCAGTTCTAAGCACTTGTCTCAACTTGTCAAACTTACTAAGCTGTGTGGGCACAATGATGCTACACATTTCTTAAGACACCACAAAATAGTGGCTGATGATGGCTGCCCCTGTTCCTCCTGAAATGAATACTTCTGTGGAAGACGTATAGCCTCATTAGAGCAAACACACAGGACTGTGCACCTTTACTCGCATGCTGACAATGCCACAATTCAAAGATCTGAGAATTTCTGAACTCTGCTATCTGTGGGTAAATGGAAAAATGAAATGCCCGAAGTATAGTATGTCTGAAAATGCTGATAAACACAAGTGCAGAGAGACCAATTCTGGTCTCTGTTTATAAGCACTGAGGTCTATTCAGCCCCATAAAATTTACAGACATGTAAGTGGGACATCACTGGTTTCAAGTAATAGTCAATTTTTTACTGAAATCATGGCAGGGTTACAATTCTTGCCTGGATATATTTGACATAAACTACCTGTCTGATATAGCATGCAAAATGCAAGGATAATCCTTTCTTCCTACCTTACTTGTCCCTTACTCAAGGTGTTTTCACTTGTACTTATCTAGGAGTTTTCATGGTCTACACTACAAAGGTCTGCCACCACACCAATATGCTTTCTCTTTGTCAAACAATTGGATAATTCTTTCTTTTCATTCAATTTATCACTGTCAGTAACTACACAGTCGAGAAGCAACTTCATATGCAAAGGGAATGTGAAGCTTTATTCAAGACTTCTGGTTAATAAAGAATTTAAATACAGAAAAAAAAATAGTATGGAACGAAGAGATTCAGACATCCATCATAATGAATTACTGGCTCCAAAAACGATCCTGCACCGTTTCAGGGAATAAGTCTGCACTAGCATTCACACACATCTGCGTTCACGTACACCAGCAGCCCTGAGACGTTACCAGTGACCAGTTCCCTCATCTGTGCTTGCAGTGAACTAGATTCAGGTGCCAAAGCACTGCACCTGCTTCCACTGTGGCATTTTAAGTTAATAGTTTGCTTCTGCTAGGAAAGAAGTCAAGCTGGTCCAGAAATCAATGCTGAATTAAGTCTGAGCCACAGGGACATTCAGTGAAGAGAACCAAGAAACAGTAACAGGGGACTTCAGCAATAACTGGAATTGCCTTCTAAGAGTCAGCTGAAGCAGACTGCTGTTAACACCCTCTGCCTGGTTACTGCTGCTCCATTTCTGTTCATTTTCACATTGCTCTTGCCATCTCTCCCACAACCAGCTGCTCCATCAAACTGCCACGCCAGCCCAAGACAGCGTGACTTTGGAAGCCTGGCACAGTGTCCTCCTCTCCAGCCACTCCAATGAAGCTGACCTGGTAATAACCCTGCTCTCCCACTTGTTGCTTCCACCAGCAACACCTTTGTCTCACACAGCTGCAAAGCCACCTTGGGGCAGACAAATCAGGTTCCTCAGATTTCTTTTCCTCTAGGTTTGTGCTCTACATGGATTTATGGTGCCTGAGATACTTAACAGCAAGATGAAGGGAAGAGGACCAATGTACTTGATCTGTAGATCATGTGTCTATTGGTAACAGAAACATCCAATTTTCATCACTTCCCTGTCTACCTGGGCTAAGTCTAACAACCTGTCCAGAACCTGGGGGCTTGATAGTCTAGTCCTGAGGGCCAATCCACTTCTCACCCCCCCCTTGTTATTTACTTGAACACATCTCTTTGGCTTCACTTGCTCCTCTGGTATTTCTTTCTTCACCTTCCATGCAGCACTGCTCAACACAGTCGTTAGGGCATGCATATCACCAAAGACATGACCGCCAACAGCAACAGTAATCTGTACTGGTTAATTTGCGGTATCTTGGGAAAGAAAGAATCCACAATCTTGGTACATGTAGTTCCTGATAATCAGGCATTTCTTACTATTAGATACTTACAATACCACCTTTCTCATTCAGTAACTCTAACTTGAGCACCTCCTTTGACCCAGGTAACTAACTGTGAAAGGACTTCCACATTTTCTTTCACTGTCACAACAGTTTCTCGAGAGGAAGCAACATGCTGGGATAAGCCTCAGCTGACTGATGCCCATTCACAATAGTGGAGGGACTCATTGAGCCAAACTCGTATCTGATGCAGACTGCCTTGTAACCCCATGGGATGAGAAGTTTATAAATCAAGGCAGAATATAGCCACAAGGCATAGACAGAAGCTTAAAAAAAAAAAGTCCCAAATTTATTACTGTATTTAGCAGCCAAACTGATGATTAAAGCACCTTAGATTTAAAACCTCAGCTCCAGCATCAGAAGCAAAGTGGCAAAGGGGAATCCAGATAAACCCTATTAAAAAACCATCTGTCATCTCAAAAAAATAAATTTCAGAAAAAGAATTCTCTCTTCCTTGCTCCAGTTCAGCTGGACCTCTCTGGACCTGATGTTTACAGTACCAACTTTAAAAGAAAGAACTGTCTTGGCCACTGAAGATGAATGGGAAGATTTTAGGTTTACAGTATATGGACTTGCAGCATTGTTCGTAGCAGTAGAAATGAAGCTAATGCTTTTTTTATTTTACATCAGTAGGAGTCCAGGTGATATCCTCAATGAGGAGAGCAGACGGGTGTACTGGCTAGAGCCCAGGGCATTGCAAAAACAGTAACATCTTTTCAAACAGCACAGCTGAGCAGTTTCTCTTGCAATTTCAATTCTGAGACCTCCTGTATGCCTGCCACTGCCCCTCAGGTGTGCTAAGAGGCTGTCAGGTCCTGTTCTCCTCTGCTCCCTCTCTGAGCATGTGTCAGAGCCACAATGCAAAGCTCCCTACCACGTCAGCTCTGTCCTTCC